AAACACAATTTTGTGTTTTAAACAGTATTTTTGAGATCTAACGGACACTTTTTGTGTTTTACACAGTACTAATGAGATCTAACAGACAATTTTTTGTGTTTTACACAGTAATTATGAGGTCTCACAGATAATTTTTCGTGTTTTACACAGTATAATGAGATCTAACAAACAATTTTTCGTGTTTTACACAGTAATAATGAGATCTAACAGACAATTTTCGTGTTTTACACAGTATAATGAGATCTAACAGACAATTTTTCGTGTTTTACACAGTAATTTTGAGATCTAACAGACAATTTTTCGTGTTTAAACAGTAATAATGACATCTAACAGACAATTTTACGTGTTTACACAGTATTATTGAGATCTAACAGACAATTTTTCGTGTTTACACAGTATTATTGAGATCTAACAGACAATTTTCGTGTTTTACACAGTATATGAGATCTAACAGACACTTTTTTGTGTTTTAAACAGTATTTTTGAGATCTAACAGACAATTTTTTGTGTTTTACACAGTAATATTGAGATCTAACAGACACTTTTTTGTGTTTTACACTGTAATAATGACATCTAACTATTTTTCGTGCTTACACATTAATAATAAGATCTAACAGACACTTTTTTGTGTTTTACACAGTACTAATGAGATCTAACAGACAATTTTTTGTGTTTTAAACAGTATTTATGAGGTCTCACAGATATTTTTCGTGTTTTACACAGTATTATTGAGATTTAACAAACTATTTTTTGTGTTCTACACAGTAATAATGAGATCTACCAGACAATTTTTCCTGTTTTACACAGTAAAATAGAGATCTAACAGACAATTTTTCGTGTTTTAAACAGTATTATCGAAATCTCACAAAAATTTTTCGTGTTGTACACAGTATCATTAAGATCTAACGGACAATTTTTCGTGTTTTACACAGTAATATTGAGATCTAACAGACAATTTTCGTGTTTTGTACAGTACTAATGAGAACTAACAGGCTCTTTTTGTTTTACACAGTATAATTAGAGCCAACAGACAATGTTTTGTGTTTTACACAGTATTAATGAGATATAAAAGACAATTTTTCGTGTTTTACACAGTAATAATGAGATCTAACAGACAATTTTTGTGTTTTAAACAGTATTATTAAGACCTAAGAGACAATATTTTGTGTTTTACACAGTATTATTGAGATTTAACACACAATTTTTCGTGTTTTACACTATAATAATAAATTATAACAGACATTTTTTCGTGTTTTACACAGTATTATTGAGATCTAACAGAC